TGTGGTAAAAGAATTCTGCGAATCTCTTGCCAGCAGATACCCAAGACATAACTCAAGGTAACACTTGTCTCTACGTAAACTGAAGCCACAGTGCAGGCCTCCCCAGGAAACGCTTATCCATGTCAGAGTCCAAGGCACTCATTTCATTTCTCAGAATACACAGTGCTGGGCTGTGGAACAAGGCATTCAGTGTAGTTTTACCCTCTCTTCCAAGTCTCAGGGTGCAGGCCTCGTAAGAGAACCATAATGGCTCACTGAAATAACTTCAAATCAGTTGACTGAAAGATGACCTCTTTCAGTCATCAGTCATCTGGGAGAAATATTAATGCATCTTACTTCATCTTTTTTTTCTAATAGACTTTACCTTTCTCTACAGCAGTTTCAGGTCTAGAGAAAACTTGATTACAAAGTACAGAGTTCCCACTTAAACCCTCTGCCTTCACATAGTTCGCCCTATTTTTTGTATCTTATATTACTGTGGTACATTTATTACATTTGATGAACCAATACTGATGCATTAAAGTCTACAATTTACAGTAGTACTGACTCTTATGTTACACAATCTGTGGGCTTCGGCAATGGTAAAATGAGTTGTGTCCATCATTTCTTCATCACATATGCTACTGAAAGCCCCGTGTGCTCCACCTCCTCAGTCATTCCTCCCTCCTACCCCCAGATCCCTGGCGGCCGAAGCTGTGTGTAGCCTTGTCATACTGGCTGCTTTCACTCAGCAATATGATTTTAAGTTTTCTCCACGTCTTTTTGATTCTTCATTTCCTTTTAACACTGAATGTATTTCATTGTATTCCTGTTTCAGTGATTATTTTTCCATTTACCTGTTGTTACCTGTAAGTCTTGATAGTCATGACTAAAGCTTTTATAAAAATTCATACACAGGTTTTTTTTAAATGAACGTAAGTTTTCAGCTAATTTGACAAAATATAGAGGTGCTTGATTGCTGGATTGTATGGTTAAGAGCAGGTTTAGAACTTTAAGAAACTGCCCATTTTCCAAAGTAGGCATACTGGTTGTCCACTCCCACCAGCCATGAATGAGGGTTCCTGTTCCACATCTTCTCCATCCTTAAGTATTTGTTCTCAATTTTTTTGAATCTTAGTACTGTAAAGTAGCTAGTAATAATGTCATTCTTACACTCTTTTACCATCCCTTTGTCTTAATTGGTTAGGTTATGTTTTTTCCATTTTTAATTTTGTTGCTTGTTGTATTATTGAGTTTTTAAGACTTCTTTGGGTATTTGGATACCAGCCCTTTATCAGGTAAGTGGTTTGCAGAGATTTTCTCTCAGTCTGTGGCTTGTGTTCTCAATCTCTTAACCCTGTCTTTCATAGAGCAAGTTGTCATTTAAATAAAGTCAATTTACCATTTTATTTTCTTTCATCAATCCTGCTTTTGGTGTGCTGTATCTAAAAACTCATCACCAAACCCAAGGTTACCTGGATTATCTTCTAGGAATTCTGTAGCTTTGCATTTTACATAAGATCTATGATCCATTTTGAATTTCTACAAAAGGCATGGGATCTGTGTCCAGATTCTTTTTTTTTTTTAACATGGCTGTCTAGTTTTCCTGGCATTGTTTGTTTCTTCACTGAATTGCCTTTGATCCTTTGTCCAAGATGAATTGGCTATATTTGTTTGGATCTGTAGGAAATAATTGACTTTTGTGTATTACTCATTTCTCCCCCACCTTACTCTACTCTCATTAGTTCAAGGAGTTTTCTTTGTTGTTGTTGATTCTTGGAGTTTTTCTCCATAATCATGTTATATGTGACAAAAGACAGTTTTATTTCCTACTTTCTATTCTGTATACCTTTTATTTCCTTTTCGTATATTGTTTTAGCTTAGATTTCCTGTCCTGTGTTGACTAGGACTGGTGAGAGAGGGGACATCATTGCCTCCTGATCTTACCAGGAAAGCATCTAGTTTCTCACCTTTAAGTGTGATGTTAATCGCAGGTTTTTGGTAGATGGTCTTTCTCAATAAGAGGAAGCCCCTCTCTGTTCCAAGGATGCTGTCATAAGTGGGTTCTGGATTTTATCAAATGCGTTTACATTTTCATTTTCTCTTTCATTCCTCATATTAATCATTTCTGTCTTTTTTTTCTCAGCATGTATAGACATTTCTGAATTTTATCTTTTCAAAAACAAGCTTTTTAGTTTTTGTTGATTTTTCCCAATGATTTCTTGTAATTTCATTGATTTCTTCTCAGAGATTGTTAAATCTCTCGTGCTTACTTTGGGTTTAATTTGCTCTTCTTTTTCTAGTTTCCAAGGGTAAAGGCTTCGATCATTGATTACAGGTCTCTTTCTTCAAGTGTACGGCTTTCGGTGCCATAAATGTCCCTCTAAGCCCTGTTTCTGCTGCATTCCACATATTTTGGTAAATTGTACTTTCACTTTCATTTAATTCAAAATAATTTTAACTATTATTGAGACATCTTTGATCTATGGGTTATTTAGAAATGTGTTGTTTAATCTTCAAGTATTTGAGGGGTTTTCAGTATCTTTCTATTACTGATCTCCAAATTAATGCTCTTGTGTTCTGAGGGTATATTTTGTATGATTTCCCTTGTTTCATATTGGTTAAGGTGCGTTTCATGTGCCAGAACGTGTTCTATCTTTGTGAATTTTCCATGTAAGCTTGAGAAGAGTGTGTATTCTGCTGTTGTTTGATGAAATATTCCACGGTTTCCCCTTAAGTCCAGTTGTTTGAGGGCACTGTTCAGTTCAGCTATGGCTTTCCTGAATTTCTTCCTGCTGGTTCCTATAGTTGTTGGCAGAGGAGTGTTGCCATCCAACTATAATAGTGAAGTCATCTGTTTCTCCTTGCAGGTCTAGCCATTTTGCCCTGGTGTATTTTGCCACCACATAGCTGAGCAGCGAAGCACTAAGGATTGCTGTGTCTCCTTGGAGACTTGACCCCTTTTTCATTATGTAATGTCACTCTTTATCCCTGTACTTTATCTGACATTAATATAGATATTCCACTTGTCTGTATCTTTTTCCATCCCTTAGTCTTAATCCATCTGTCTTTATTGTGAATGCAGCTTTCTTACAGACAACATACAATTGGGTGTTGCTTTTTAATTCACTATGACAGTATCTGACTTCAGTTATTATAGACCATTGACTTTTTTTTAGGTGTAGTTGATTTACAATACTATATTAGTTTCAGGTGTACAAGATAGTAATTCAAAATTTTGAGAGATTATACTCCATATGAAGTTATTATAAATTTTGGCTATATTCCCTCTGCTGTACAATATACCCTTGTAGCTTTATTTTACACATAGCAGTTTGTACCTCTTCATCTCCTACCTCTATCTTTACTCCGCTCTTCCCAATGGTACCCACTAGTTTTTTTCTGCAAATGTGTTTCCATTTTGTTACATTCATTTGTTTTTGTTTTTAGATTCCACATATAAGTGAAATCACACAGTATGTCTTTCTCTGACTTACTTCACTAAGCATAATACTTTCCAGGTCCATCCATGTTGTTGCAAATGGCGAAATTTCATTCTTTTTTTATGGCTAAGTATTCCGTTATACATATATACTACACCTTTATCAGTTCATCTGTTGATGGACACTTAATGACTGTTTCCATATTTTGGCTATTGTAAATAATGCTACTATGAACATTGGGGTGCATGTATCTTTTTGAACTAGTATTTTCATTTTCTTCAGATATATACACAGAAGTAGAATTGCTGGGTCATAGGGCAGTTCTGGTTTTAGTTTTATGAGAACCCTCAATACTATTTTTCATAGTGAGTGCACTAATTTACATTCCTACCAACAGTGTAGGAGGGTTCCTTTTCTCCACATTCTCGCCAACATTTGTTGTTTGTGGTCTTTTTGATGATGGCCATTCTTACACGTGTGACATGGTATCTCACCGTTGAACCCTTCATGTTTTATAGTGATGGGCACGTTCACCACCAGACCACTGTGGTCTTCAGTGAACTCCCTCACAAACTGCAATCCTTATTTGGTTCCCCAAGGTCCAGTGTGCACTGTTACGGTTTTGCCAGAAAGAGCTCTTATGGCATTTAATCCTCAGTATATGCACGTGTGCATGGCAAGAGTAGGGCAAAGCCGCTCTGAGGCCATGCAGATAGGGACCTTGTGGAGGTCAAAGTTGTCGTGCCTTCTTTCTCATGCCTGAGCACTAACTTCCAGATAACTTCCCAGCCTCGTGAAACAGGGAAGAGATAGAAAAGAATAAGTGAGTCTGTCATGTTTTTACAAGTAAGTTAAAATTAATACTTTTCCACAAGATTATTTTGATTCAGGCACTTGCATCTGACTCTTCCAATAGCCTGGAGTACTTCAGGACAGTATGGCCAGCTGGGCCTAGTTATAGTTAGATTTCCATAGGTATCCTGGCTTCTCTGTTTGGTGATGGGAATAGAAGAAAAAACTTCCAGTTCTTCACTGTGGTTTTTTTTTTTCCATTAAAACCTCATGCAGCGGGGAGGGTAATAGCTCAGTGGTAAAGCTTGTGCTTAATTTTCACACACGAGGTCCTGGGCTCAATCCTTAGTACCTCCATTTTTTAAATTTTTTATTAAAAAAAACCCTCATGCAAACATGACCCTGTGCTTCATGGACTGCTGTGTGATACGGTGGGTATTAAAAGGGATGAAAGAGTTTTTCTCACAAAGATTTGATGGTCTTAAAATGGAAATATTTCTTTCATTTGTACAGCATTTCTCTCATTTCTCCAACATGCTCTGGACCCCACCATTAGAGAACAGTGACTTTAAGTGATCATAGTAAAAATGTAGAAATAATTTCCACATACTCATGATGCTGTTAAATTTGTGAGGAAGTGCTTATGTATAGAGTAAGAATTCTGATGACCAAGTCATAGAATAAATATTTTGATGACAGTGTAATATGTGAACTTATGAATGGACTGTAGAGTCCAGTACTGTCCATCTCGCCCATCTTCCTGTGCACATATTTGGGATGTTTTAGGACCCAGTGGCCTTTGAGGACGTGGCTGTGAACTTCACCCTGGAGGAGTGGGCTTTACTGGATCCTTCACAGAAGAAACTCTACAGAGATGTGATGCGGGAAACCTTGAGGAACCTGGCCTCAGTAGGTAATGATGATAACATTCTTCACATAGTCAGTTAGAGATCAAGTGTTCCTTGCCCATCAGTGTTGTTCTAAGATTTCGAATGGGGAAGAGAATACTTCAGTAAATAAATCAGTTGTAGACTGAGGTCATCATGTACTTGTGAAGTAATAATTTTTCTATAATTTACTGATTTTTGGGGTCTGTATTTTAGGGGGAAAATGGGAAGACCATAACACTGAAGATAAGTACAAAGACCAGGGAAGAAATCTGAGGTGAGTTGCACTCACAACAGAAAGCAGTGTCCAAGAAGGGAATCTTCTTATGTCAAAAAAGTTTAAAAACAAGTAGAAACAAGAGTCCAGCTTCAAATTTATTCTCAGAAAATTCTTCCCCAAAATGCTTTCTTAAATGTGACGTGGATGTTCATTGTTTCCCGAGTACTTTGAAATGTACTCAGAGACTGCATGTGTGAGTATCACTGTGATGACAGCCCTGGCTGTGCTTTCCTGCAGAGCATTCAGTATATTTTCTTTCAAATTGACACACTGCAGGAAAACCTACACTTCCCCTGTAAATGGTAAAAATGTAATACTAATACTTACTAATGATTATAAAATCAGCAAAAAAATCATCAACAGTGTGCTTCTGATTTTTTTTAACAGAAGTCATACATTCGAGAGAGACTGTGAAAGTAATGAAGGTAGTCAAGATGGAAGAAACATCAGCCTTTTTCCAAATCTTAATCTGAACAAGAACAGTACCACTGCAGTAAAGGCATGGGAGTGCAGTGTGTGTGGAAAAGTCTTCATGAGCCGTTCATCCCTTAATAGGCACATGAAATCTCACACTGCACCCAAACCATCCACGTACCAGGAATATGGGAAGAAGCCTTATAAATGTAAGATATGTGGGAAGGCCTTCAGTTATCTCCAACCTTTTCAAAAACATGAAAGTAATCATGGAATAGAGAAATCCTATAAATGTAAGGAATGTGGGAAATCCTTTAGATACCGCCAGTCTGTTCGAAAACATGAACGGACTCACACTGGAGAGAAACCCTATCAGTGTAAACAATGTGGAAAAGCCTTTCGATATCATCAAACCTTTCAAACACATGAACGGACTCACACAGGAGAGAAGCCCTATCAATGTAAGCAGTGTGGTAAAGCCCTCAGTTGTCCCAGTTCCTTTCGAAGTCATGAAAGGACCCACACTGGAGAAAAGCCCTATGAATGTAAAAAGTGTAGTAAAGCCTTCAGCTGTCCCAGTTCTCTTCGAAAACATGAGAGAACTCATACTGGAGAGAAACCCTATGACTGTAAGGAGTGTGGGAAAGCCTTCATTTCTCTCGGAAGCTTTCAGAGACACATGATAACACATACTGGAGTTGGACCTTATAAATGTAAGGATTGTGGGAAAGCATTCAACTGTCCCAGTTCATATCGAATACATGAGAGATCTCACACTGGAGAAAAGCCATATGAATGTAAAATATGTGGTAGAGCCTTCAGTTGTTCCAGTTCCTTTCGAACACATGAAAGAACTCACACTGGAGAGAAACCTTATCAATGTAAAGAATGTGGAAAAGCCTTCCACTGGCTCACCACTTTTCAAGTCCATGTGAGAACTCACACTGGAGAGAAACCCTACATATGTAAGCAGTGCGGTAAAGCCCTCAGTTGTCCCACTTCCTTTCGAAGACATGAAAGGACTCACACTGCAGAGAAACCCTATGAATGTAAGCAGTGTGGGAAGACCTTCAGTTCTCCTCTGGGTTTGCAAATACATGAACGAACTCACACTGGAGAGAAACCCTATAAATGTGAGGAATGTGGGAAAGCCTTTGTTTCTCTCACAAGCTTTCGGAGACACATGATGACACACACTGGAGATGGACCTTATAAATGTAAGGAATGTGGGAAAGCATTTAATTGTCCCAGTTCGTTTCGCATACATGAAAGAACTCACACAGGAGAGAAGCCCTATGAATGTAAAATATGCGGTAAAGCCTTCAGTTGTTCTGGTTATGTTCAAGTACATGAAAGAACGCACACTGGAGAGAAGCCCTATGAATGTAAGGAGTGCGGGAAAGCCTTCATTTATCGCACAACCTTTCGAGGACACATGAGAGTACACACTGGTGAGAAACCGTATAAATGTAAAGACTGTGGGAAGGCTTTTAGTCGACCCAGTTCATTCAGAAGCCATGAAAGAATTCACACTGGAGAGAAACTTCTTGAATGTAAACATTGTGGGAAAGCCTTCAATTGGCCCACATCCTTGCATAAACATGTCACGAGAATGCACACTGGATAAACTGTAACTGAAGAATACAGGACAGTTTTCTCTTCACAAATACATTCAAAGTTATGTGAAAACTCCACTGGAGAGAAATGCTATAAATGTAAGTAATATGGGAAAGCCTGATGCAGATTAAGTCACATATAATACCCCAGAAATTTTACAACATGAAAGAAATGTTTTAAAAGTTAAAAAATATATTGTTTTTATCAGTGGCTCATTCTGAAACTCAGTTCTCTCACTATGGATTCTACTTGTTAATTTTGCAAATGAACATTGAGTTGAAACAGTTCTGTAAGTACTCGTTAAGCAGTAATACATTAGCTTAGTATGTAATGTTTTTCCTTCCAGCAGCTTACAGTTTTTATCTATTTTGAAATCTGTTGGATCTGTGGGTGAACTGGAATATAACTGTAATGTGCCAATATCATATAATGTGCCAAAATGTGTAATTTTTTAATTGCTCTGTAAGTAAGGAGGCCGTGGGATAATGACACTTAGGTATTTGTTGGGATTTTCCTATTGGTTTCAAGCAGTGGGTATTGGATATTTTTCACCCATTGTAAATACTCCTCTTTTCTTATTAGAAAAGCAAGTTTCTTTTGTCAGAAGAGCTGAATTCCATTTTCCTTGCTAATAAGTAGCTGGCATAAATTTGTAAGTATGCAAAGTCTATCATAGAGTATAATCTCATTTGACTTATTATTTATGCCTCTTCTCTTTACTCTTTGTCATTCCATCTGACTGTGATTTTGGTAATAGCCTTTACATTCAGAAAAGAGACCTGTGTTGACATCAATGGCATAGTTACACGAAGCAACCTTACATTGTTTACAAGCTTAATTATTTTAGATTTAAATTTGTAGCTACAGCGTCTTTGCACTGAAGCAACATTTTTCCCCCAACAACGCGTTAATAATGTCATTATTTAGGATATCTTTTACCCATAATACAATTAGCATGATTATATGCTATCACTAAAGTAAACCAGTGGTATTACCATCCATTCATATTGAGCACCTGCTATGTGCCTGTGCTGGAAATATAAGTGAACATAACTGATGTGGTTACTGCTCTCACAGTGCTTCATGTCCATGAGATTAAATGTAAACATCACGTTTCTAGCTACTTTTTAAAGTTATTACAAAAATGAATCAGTTTAATGTTCATAACATTGTATGCAATAGACCAATAAGTCTTCATACTTGCAAAGGAAAAGAAAGGAGACCTATGATAGGACAACAGAATGTAGAACTGGAGATGGTCTCCTGGAATGTGTTCTGTCAACATGGATAATGCTGAGACCTACATTTTCTAGAACCTTATTCTCATGGTTCCATGTTAGAATTCACCTCCAACCTCACTTGCGTGAGATTTGGAAGGCACAGCAAAGACGGCCTTATTAGTCTTCAGAACCATGGAATAGAGAAAGACAGATGCATAGAAGTTTCACACCTGCCTGCTTCCAGCCCGTTTTCCTGATCCTCTGCCCTGCCAGTCAGGAGCAGCTTCATTACCACTAACTACGTACCTTCCATTTTCTCAGACCTGTAGGTTTCCACAGATGGCTCCACAAGTTCCACAGCAAAGATCTGTCACAGTAGGGATTTTCCTGCAAGTCCTCATGTGTCCACCAGGCAACAAATTTATTAGACTGTTGTGGCTGAGAATGTTTTGTGAAGCACTGACTCCCCCCTTCTCTATATTGCATTTGTATAAGGTCTAATTTGTGTAGTACACACTTTGTTCTGTTAATATCGCTGGTGACTGTGTGCTCCGGATCCCACTACGCCAGCTACAGTGGTGCCGTCAAAAGGAAGCACGTGAGCCCGTCAGTGTGCACCTCCCTGTGCTGGGCAGGGACTCCTGTGACCCAGCCCTCCCCTGTGACAGTCAGCACCTTCCTCTCATCAGACTGTGGATGTGTCCCGTTACTCACAGCTGAACATAATTCCTCAGTACATTTTCTGTTATGTTTAATTGTATGTGATTTAAAACTATTCATATTTTTGTCAAGTGCTTGTGTAGATTTTTCTTAGAAATTTCTTACTAGCTCTTTCAAAAAACTTGTATACTAACCAATATTACCTTTTCCATTTCCTGATGGGAAATACTGAAACATCCCATTGCAACTGTGGATTTTTAGATCAACTTTGTATTTTTTTAAGTTAATCATACATTTTAAATCAATATTTACCATGTATATTTTTCCTCAGGCAAATGTTATTTTTTCATAGTTAAAATTTTTGTCATGAAATGGATTTCTCATTTGTTCTTAATTAAAAACTTCAATCATGGTTTTGTTAGTGCCTTCTTACCAAAAACTACCAGGAGCACACCTGTATTCAAATAGAGGGGTGTATAAAAAGAAAAAGATACACACACACACACAACTGAATCACTATGCTGTACACCAGAAACTAACACAAGATTGTACAGATATCTACTTCAATTAAAAAACCCACAGATGGGTGTAGTGAATCATCATAATAAAGATGACTGCAAAGCATAAATGATCGTGGCCTGTGTCAGTAAGAGGGAGTCCAGAAGGTCACTGTCTTACAGGATTTGGACTTCCATCAGGTATCGCCTCCTTTTCAAGTCAAGTGAGGCTTTTAGGTAAACTGTCAAGAACACAAACCTAGCAAGGGACCAAGGCAGAGTTCCTATTCCAGTGAGGCCTTTCTTGCTCAGAAACTATGCTCTTGATACTAATTTGTCAGCATTCCTCCTCTGCTAAGCACTGTAGACTCAAAATATACACAGCTTAGCACAAACGGCACTATATACTCTGGATATATAGACATGAAACGAGTTCTTGCAGCCCTAGTGCTTATCTTTTTGTGGGAAAATAGATTAATAAAGGGCACAGTTTGGGTTTTTAAGATAGAAATAAGGGCTGTGGGGGAAAGTAAACATGGTAAGAGGTAATACGGAGACTGGGAGCGTGTGTGGAGAGTCAGGGCCGCGTGAGGGAAGATGTCATCACTGATCATTTTTTATTTCCACCATCTTGCATCTTAAAACACTATCTGAGGAACTGCTTAGGTGCAGGTGTAAAAAAGTGGGGAGTGAAGCCGACAGTCCTGCATTACTTTGATTAACAGTAATGGTTTCCCACATACAGACCTGGACAGTTAGGCCACAAGGCTATACTGAAAGCCCTACTTTTCTCGAATAATTAAAGCTGATTTCCTAAGACTATTTTAATTCAGTGTTTAGCCAGTTTGCATTTGTGCATTCCTTAAGTCTGGCTGACCAGACCCAACTGCATGAACAAAAGGAGGAGAAAAGGCTATGGACTCCTTAAGATCTGCGCTGACTCAGGCTCTGGAATTAGGCCACCCTAACTATAAACTACCATTGTTTTCTCTTTCTGCATGAAGATAAAGGAAACGCAGTCGAGGTGCTACCTCAGAGGCACGGTGACCAGCACCAAGCCACAGGATGTTATAATCAGCAGCCAGGTTCAGCGGCGAAAGGACTCCCACCTTATGAGGGCTCTGTCAACGACAGCACAGCGCTCTCATGCAAAGCTAGGGGAGAACTTAACGGGGTCTCCTTTGACTGTGTTCCATACTCAGGTTAATCTCGAGTTCTGATCCTTCTCAGCACTATTCTGTGAGTCAACTTGCCTCTTGCGACTATTGTTGCTTTCTTCTACCTGTTACTACTTTGGCTTGATGTAATCATCTTAACGCTGCAACTTTACTTCCAGCAGCCCAGGCTGACAATGACCATGACTGCATATGCTGATTATCTTCATACACCTAGGAATGACTTACAAAAACGGCTATCAATAATGCTAACTTTACTTGGTTTATGGATGGAGCTTACTTAAAGGATGAAGAGGGACATTACCTAGCTGGATATGCAATAACGTCCACCGTGGACATGATTGAAAGCTCTTATTTACCAGATGCAAAGTTGGCACAGCAAGCTGAATTAATTGCTCTAATGAGTTTGTCAGCTAGCTAAAGAGCAAGTAGCAGACATTTACACTGATAACTACTCTGCTTTAGTTGTAGGACTCCCTTCTAAAATCTTCTAGAAGAAATCATGTAGCTCATGATTTCTTACTAACTTAGGCCAACCCATAAAGAACAGGAAGCTAGTGTCAGAATTATTAGACTCTATACAATTACCTAAATAATTGGCCACCATTAAAATGCCTGGAAATTTCAAATTTGACTCATTAGAGATTTGGGTTTAGTCCCTTAAATGTAGTAGAATTTTCAAGGATTTGCATAAGCTTTAAGTAATTCTCTTTACATCAATGTTAAAAATTCAATTGCTTTTTCCTCACATTCATTAAAACAGGAATTTATCTGCCTTAGGAACAGTACAGCCTTTTAAATGTCAAAGCTCTCTAGGGACAAGCATGCACAAAAATGATCTAAAAATGAAAAATGCACCTGAGAATTTAAATACACTTCTCACAGCTTGTGGTTCTCTTACCTAAAAGGAACAAAAATCCTATTTGGTTCCACATTTTCTTGCCTTAATCACATATTTCTCAATCAACTTACATTTTCAAAGCCCAAGAAACTAAAAATGTTACATGCCCACAAGGAAGAAATAAATACAAAGTGCTAAGGGAAACTAGAGTTAAAAAGCCCCAGTGTTCAATAGATAAAGGAATCCAAAGGAAAAAAACACAAACATTCAAATCAGATCAGACAAGCATCCTGTTTCCCAATGAGGAAAAAGGAAAACCCTCATGCAGAAGGTTAAACACCTTCCCAAGCTTAAGTTCTAGACTCTTCCTGGTGAAGGAGAGTGAGGACACCTGAGAAGCCGCAGAAATGAATTCTGGGAGCTCCACATACCTTCTTCTCACTAAAGAATAATGGATTTTCTTCCCTCTCTCAGGCTTCAATTTTCACAGGTGAAGAGATTCTTAGCAGGATTCAGTTTAAGGTTCTGACCAAAACTGTTAAACCCTTAAACCCTTGCATGTCAAACCCTTCCCCACGACCCAGAATTCCTTTCACAGACTTTCTCGATGTGCACAGATTATACTCTGAGTGCAGCTACACTGTGGATGCCAAACTCAAATCCAACATCTGAAACAGGCCCAAGAAAACCATAGTTACAACTCCAGAAAGGGTACCACCCCCACCCCATCCACATCCCCACTTTACAGGGCTGTAGCTTTTCTCAGCATAAGTGGAGCAGACAGGACACTTGCAGGGGAGGCTTCCCAGGAAGAACCAACTGGGCTTCCAAGTACTTCCCTTTGCAGGCTCAAGGGGGCCTTAGCTTTGGTCAATGGCCACAGGCATTTGCTCCGCACTGGAGGTGCTCTGGACCACCACAGACATGTTAAATGACTCAAACCCAGCATCTGAAGAACCAGCAAATTCACTCAAACTCAGTGTTTATGTGGAAAGGACAGAAGAAAACTGTAAGCCATTTTGTCTAGTTCAACCAGAAATCTCATAAATATCTACTCTTTCCAAAAATGAAGATGTCAGTTAATCATTATTTCCATGGCAATAAATTATAAGCAATTTTTATATTTGAACACTCCCAGGTGTTACAAGACTAAGCCCTGGGATTCAATATGAAATCACCCAAAAGAAAGGAACAGACCTCAGAAACTTACAACACATGCTCAGGGATAGAAAAAAGAGAAACAAGGATTTTTTAACAAATGCAAAGTAATACTGGAGTATTTTATCTTCTCTGAAATTCACTTCTTTCTGTGTCTCTGAAAATATTTTCTACTCTCTTTCAAGCTCCGTTGATTAAACAAAATTTACGTTTATTTAAAAAGACAAGCTCAAATAAATGAACGTCTTTTCAGGGTGACAAACCCAGAGAGGGGCAATGCTGACATGACAGATCAGCCATGAAAGTTTCCCAAGAGGAACTTCCAGCTAAAGGACTTCCCATAGGAAAGATCCTGATGGGAGAGACACAGGGATTTCATGTAATGTAGGTGGTTATTCTTGGCTTTCTCATCTGTAAAATATCCACAGACAAGAAACAAATCTTTAAAAAAGCCATCCTTGGCCCTGTGGGAAAATGATAAACAAAATACTGCGCCGGTTTGAAATGCATCATGGACAGTCGATAATGATGCTGTGACCAGAGGGTGAATGGCTGCGTTTAAGAACGTGGAATGGACATTCAGGCACTTACTGCCAGCCCTAGGAAGAGCCAGACTAGGGGGACAGGGTTGTGGCTTCGAGTTTGGAAAACTCAGAGGGAAACAGGACTGGGGATCCCAGAGACCACAGCTTCTCCCACGCATGAACCACAGAGACTGAGTCGGGACTGTCCCTTGTTGACCATCCCTATGGTCACCACACAATCTGGGGCAGACGACGGGCCGCAGGCGCAGAGCTGCCCAGAGGCTCCAGCCCCGTTGCCGAAGTTGCCCCACGCAGTGACCAGACTGGACGCCCGGGGCCGCGGCTGCTGGCCCCGCTCCCCACGCTGCGAGCCGGAGGGGACTGAGGTCCGAGCGGCGTCCCCCACGGACACGGCTTTGCAAACTCGGGACTTGACGGCGCGGGGGCCCGGGTCCCGCCAGGGCCTGCTCCGTCCAGCTCTTGTCTCTGGACACCCAGTCTCGCACACTCACCATTTCCCAGCTCCTGCGTCCCGCGGAGTCGTCCCAACGGCTCCCACGGCGGCTCCCGCGGCTGGTGCCGGTCACAGAGCGACAGAGCGAGCGGCAGCGCCACCAGACGCCGTCAGTCAGCTGAGACGCGAAGTAGGAGAGTCCACGCCGTTTACGGAGCGTCGCCCCACCCACTTCCGCAGCAGGGTCCCTGATTGGACAGCTCTCAAGGCCCCGCCCCCGCCCCCCCCCGCCGCCGCGGTAGCGCGGGCCGGAGTTTGTCCCAGCTGGGGATATTTGTATTTGATTAGAATTCGTTCTCTACCCTTGGTAGCAAGCTGCAGCACCTTCTGAAAGCGGGAAAAAAGTGTGTACATGGAATTCAAGTGCCAGTTTCCAAATGGAGGGACGCCCTAGTCCAGAGCAAGAGAAGCACCCAGGCCGGGCCAGACTAGAACTAGAACAGTCAGGGTCTTGGTATAATACTTCGAGGCTACCTACTCATGGAACTGTGACCCTTGCTTATAAACTTAAAAATTATCTGACCATTTTCATCCTTCACCGTTGACAGCGTTGAGGCTTCCACCCATTCCTTCCCTACTCCCACACATTTGTTACTTTAGATAAAGATCCCATGGCCTCGAGAGAACTTGGCTCTGCTGAAAGTTTGAACACACAGCCCTATCCTGAGCATGCAGGCTCTTCTCAGACCAACCACAAGCTATCAAGTGTGTTCAATAAAACTCTTAAACACTGCAAGGAAATTTACATCAGTTTTTTAGTGTTTCCCTAGAGAACTTTGAAATGCAAACAGCTAGAATATCCCTAAGGCAATCGAATTCTTATTTTTACTGCTATAAAATAAAGAAATAAAATTTATGCAAATTTGGGATGTACCTGGAAACTCTTAATATACTTATTTATTTGAACAGATTTATTGAGACATAATACACATATTATACAGTGGACTGCTTTAAAGCTTACAATTCAATGGGTTTTGTTTGTTTTTTTTTTAATTTCCAGCAGCTACTTTAGAAGATCAAGCATCTGCTGAGGACCCTGACCACGTCCAAGGTGCCCACCTCTGCACCCCTCTGTTTGGCCTGGGTTGGTCCCTGCCAGTGGAGGAAGGCTTACAAAGTTTTGGGAGGAGTGTCCAAAAACAAGCCCCAGTGTAACTGCAGTTGGACATTGGAGGCCCTCTCTGGGCCTCCCTGTCCCTTCTTCGGAAAGAGAAAATTTTCTGGACGCACATCTGGCAGCAGTGCCCGGCACAATCTTGGCCTCAAGACGGGGACCTAGAATAATTCTCAGGAGGCACGCCCAACAACCGGACACCAGGTGGGAATGCAGCCGAGCACAGGGCGCCATACCCTGATCACCTGGTGGAGGGGACCTCCGTGTGCAGTCAGCTCACCTGGGCAGTTCCCAGATGCCACTCTCCTCTACACTGCAGTGACAATATCAGAGGAGCCTGTTCGGAGGTGGAGTGTGTGGCAGCGCTGCCAGGTTGATGGAACTTGTCCTTGGGCTTGGCTGTTGGGAGTCCATCCCACGCCCGCTGCAGCGGAGCTCCGAGGATGATAAAAAAAGCGGCCACCAGATGGCGCCCGACAACTGGCCTGGACACTGCCCCCACCCCTTCTCACGCCACCTCTTCTGGGTCTCACTCGAACAGTGTACCTCCCTCGGCCCCCAGCAGCCCAGGGTGGCCTGCTGGGCCCGGAGCACCGTCCACAGAACTCCTTGGGTGGCCAGTGCTGTTCTCAGCCCCCAAGGAGGACTTAGACATTTTTCAGGAGGCACCCCCAATGACCCGGACTCACAGGGACAGGTGGCTGCTGAGGCTGCACAGAAGGCTCCCAGGCCATCTCAGTTTAATCTCCTCCTCCCAAGAGGGGTTAAATTTTCAGGAAGCACATCTGGTGACCCATCCCCACACAGGACTTCCCCCCAAGCCCTGGCTACCCTCGAAGGTGGTCCCTAGCCTGGTCACTGCCTCACTAGAGAGGAGTTGGAAACATTTTCCAGAAGCATATGTGATGAATAGGGCCCACCTGTGAGCATGGGTGGGGCCAGAACACCCTCCCTGAGGCTTCCCTGGGTGGCTAGGACCAGTAGCTCCTACGGGGGGAGATTGAGAAAAATAGGGGGGAGGAGCAGATCTAGCAACTGGGCCACCCAGGTGTCTACAGGTAGCACTGGGGAGCCCTCTAAGCCCAGGCCAGTGGCCCTCACCCAGAGGGGGACTCAGAAACTCGAGAGGCACAGTGCCAACAGTCCTGTCTGGGTGCCTGCCTCTGGATGACTTCCTGGCCCCACCAACAAAGGGGGCACCTCTGAAAATGAGGCCCATAGGCACAATGATAGTGGGCCTCTGGCACCCCCCTCAGCCTCCACGGCTGTCCCAGCTGGTCCAGCCTTCTCAAGGGGATTTAGAAACATTTCTGGGAGTGCCTTCAGTGACCAGACCTTAAGCGGGTCACTGGGTGGACCTGCGGCACCCTCCCTGCTTGGCCCAGGCACATCCTCAGTCCAGGCCCAACATAAGCCGTAGGCATTCCTACCCAGCCTGGGTCGGCACTAGCCTAGTGAGGAGGACTTAGAAATCTTTTCAGGAGGCAATCTTAAAGGCTGGCACTGAAGCAGGGCCACCATGGGCCTGGGTGACTTCACCTAGCCTCTCTGCCAGTCTAGGCCGGTGCCCCTGCTCAGGGTAGAATGCATTGACCAGGGCACAAAAGGATGGCAGCCAGGCCACGGTCACACTTCCCAGGACATGCTGGCCCATCCAGTCCTGTCCATACCACCAGAGAGAACTAGAAACATTTTTGCCAGGCACTTCCTAAGACAGAGACTCACACAAAACCATTGGCATGCCGAGGTCCCAACCCAGAACTCCCTAGCGGGCCCGGAGCCTGTCCACAATGGACCAGGATTTAGAAATGTTTGAGGGGGACGCTTCTGCCAACAGGGACCCACTCTGGACAGCAACCAGATTGTCATGCCCTTGGGCCTCCATGTCTGGCCAGGCTGGTCCTGGCCTCCACAGAAAGTCACATAAACTTTTCAGGTGTCCCAATAACTGAGATCCAAGACTGACAGCACCTGAGCCTGTGGGTGGGCCAAGTTGTCCAGCCCAGGCCAGTGCCTCCCCTTTGGATGAGGACATGGATGTTTTCAGGAGGCACCAGCAAGTGTCATGAATCCAATACTGGGACCTGTGCAGAACCACAGCCTGGCCTGGGTGCCCACCCTGAGTCTCTCTGGCTAGCCTGTCCCCACTACCAAGGACACCTTAGAGAGGTTTATAGGAATGCACCGGTATTGTGCTCCATGCAGGATGGAGGAAGGATCCAGGACCACCTCCAGGGGTCTCCTTGGACAATGCCCAGGATTTGGATATATTTTCAGAAAGCACATGGATGACCGGACATGAGATGCCATCCCTGGGGCACACTGCTTGGCCCAGCCCGATCCCTGCCACCAGAGGAAAACTCAAAAGCAATTTTGGTGGGCACCTATGTTGGGGCCCAAAGGACAGCAGATGGCACTGGGGCACGTGCCCCAGACTACCCTGCCTGGCTCTGCTGCCTTCCCCTTTTGGAAGGAAACTTAAAAGTTTGAGGCAGATACATCCAGTGATTGGACCCCATGCAGGATGGCAGCTAGACTGGGGGGCCCTCCTTGGGCCTCTCTGGTCTATCATTTTAGGGGGAGACTTAGAAAACTTTTCAAGAGGCACATCCAACACCTAGACCATCTGTGATCTGCCTAGGGGTTCTAAGCTGGCCCAGGCTCATGCATGTTCCCCATCAAGGGAGACTTACAAATATTTTCTGGAGACACCTCTAACAATCAGGGGCCCAAGCATCCAAACACTGGTCCCCACAGGGCCTGCAGGTGGGCTTGGCATGCCCTCCTCGCCCCCATACGACTTCAAAGGACCCATACCAGACTCTGCCAACTGGAGGATAGGCCACCTCCTTTCAACCCTAAATCTCAGGTTTCATCCCAAGATCTCCTGCCTCTGTAAGACTTAAGAACATACTAGGACATGGCAGCCCCTCTGTCTGTCTCCTGGGAGGCCCACAGCTCCAGCCTTTCTGTCCAAGATCCAGCTTTGGGTAATTCCACCTCCACCCCCAGGACCTCCCAGATTCCTTGCCCTCAGGGCCCCAAGACAGAGTCTGGAAGGCCCCAAGGTATGTCTGGCTTTCCCAGCCCAGGTCCAGCACAAGCCTGCCCTCGATGGCTTCTCAAACAGCTGTGTCACAGCCTGAGTAGACAAAGGAGTGAAGCAGGAGTGGAGAACAAACTGGTGAGTGAGGTGGGGTATGAACAGCGTAGACCCTGGGGTGAGGATTCAGGCCTGCAAGGCCTCAGGTCAAGGGTCAGCTAGGGTTTGCTGACCTTTCTGGGTCATAAATTCCATTGAAAAATGAAAACCCACACTCAGTAACACCTTAACCTGAGTCTTGGTAGGGGCATTTTAATGGCTTTTGTTAGTGGTAGCAACAGCATCAAGAGAAGGGGTAGAGTTTGTGCCACCCCTGGAGGAGTAGGCTCAGGCTCAGAAGGGGGCACCTTGTCCCCGGCGGGTCTAGCGGTCCTCTTTCCATTGGACTGAGGCCAAGAAGGTACGGATTTCCATGGGCTGCAGTGTGATGTTGGCAGAGACCAGCCAGTGGGGAGAACGATGGGGTGTGGGGCCTGGGGAGGTAGAAGGGAGGAGTGAGGGTTGCAGACTTCCTCTGCCTTAATATCCCATGCCACCCCACACCACTGCCATTCTCCCTCCCCTTGGCCTGAACACAGACACACCGCCTTTAATCTGTCCCCAGGGCCTCACTCCCAGACCCTTCCACTGCCTCCCAGGGCCTAGACACCACCCCCAGATCCCAAATCCCTCTCCCATGCTTGACCACCATCCTCACATCCACAAGTCTCGCCCCAAAGACCATCAAGCCAACCCCTGCCCCCAGAGCTAGACACCCACGGAGACTCTCAAATCTTGTTCTTGGGACTGAACTCCATCTTCAAACCCTCAAGTCCTACCACCAGTTTGCTGGACCCACTTCTGATCCTTAAACCCCTAATTTGGATCTGAACACCGACTCAGGCGCTTGAGCTCTATACCTCG